CTTCCTCTGTCCGACCGCAAACCTCTCCTGGATCACGATTCCTCTCGCAGCTCTCGACTCCAAGCTCCCAGCCGACCTCCTCCTCCCATATTTCGACCTGTCTTCCTCCTCTCATCAAACCCATCTGCCTTCCAAAATTTACCTCGGAACTTATTTAGTTAAAACTACCTCGCCGAATTAAAGAAAATCGGGCGGAGGCCGGGGCCGAATTTTCGAAGCCCACAGATTTCTAGCAACTCCACTGGGGATTGGTTTCTCTTTCCATCTTTGGCTAGTCGTCTCAGTATTATAGTAGCATCCATATCGATCTGTACTTAAAATTTTAAGTATCCTAAGAATGATTGTTCAAAATTTTTTTTCATTGAGATAACGTATTTAGCAGTATTTTAGATTTATATTATTTGAATTGCCCGCTAATATTATTTTCTCTTATTTTTTTTGTGTTATGTGCAAGTCTCTGCATTTTGAAAGTGTGGGTTGATGTATCAGATTCTGATTACTAACTCTTGCCTTTCATTTATGCAGATGGATCTACAGAACACCCCAATGACCGTCCAACTAAGACGAGGAGCCAGGATACAACTGGCTAATGCTATCATAGAAACCGGAAACACTGGAGCTATCATCTAATTTGGTAGTGTTGATTTTCCTGCAGTTGTTGCAAGAATTGTCGGAGCTCCTACTGGTTGTGTACATCTGCCAGTACAACGACATACTACTGAAACTTCTCGTGGGAGGATTTTTGTGTTTGAGAGGATGTCACAGCCTGAAGCCCCACCAACCAAGAGAATTTTAGCTGACGGAAGAATCTCAGTGGTGACTGTCAACACCACTACTTTGCCGACCAGGTTATCTGCGCCTGGAGAGTACAATGCTGAAGCCTTCTCATCTGGAGGGAGGCCTACGAGAAGACAAAGGAGAAAGATGAATGCTGAACTCCGAGCCCTTCCAATCTGCCAGCCCAGGTGCCTGAAGCCAATGTTCCTACCCGGAACAAGTTTTCTTATTTAAAATGGGTGAAGAGGAATAGCTCCACTGGTGAGCTAAAGAAGTCCTTCTGGGAGCAACGACGTGAAGTCCCAGCCCCTCCAAGGCAGAATGAACCTGAGACCTTATCATCCCGGGTCTATAGGGTCTTGAAGACCGTGAAGGAGAAAGGTCTTAAAAAGAAGAAGTTCCAACGGCCTTTAGTGATCGAGGCCAGGAGAACCCCGCCAAGAGAACGTCTATCTGTTGTGGCGGAAAGAAGAGAAAGAAGGTATACCCCACGTGGTGAACATCGGGGTGTGACACCTGAACCGCATGTTCAGGGATCCACTGCCGAAAGGTCCGGGTGGAAAGGAAAGCAAGTCTGGAGGCCAAAGCCTCAAAGAAATAAGGAAGAAAGGAAAGAAATAAGAGTTGATCTGGGCGTGACATCCGGTTCTGATTCCCGGAAATCCGTTCCCGTCAACAAACAATGTCAGAAGTGGGCCTCAAAAAGGACCCATAATGACACTCCAGACAGTAAACACCTTGGAGAATCCTCCAGGGGATCCCGTCACCTTCCATCCCCTCCAAAAAAAGAGACTAACTTCGACCGCAGCCCACTGATCGAAGAAGTCCCATTGCCTAATCAAGAACCGGAAATTCAATGGCGTCGCCGCTCGGAGATCCGGGTACTAGAAGAAGAAGGAAACATGGAAGGGGGAGACAATATTGAAGAAGAAGAATTCCTTGAAGGGGAAGAAAATTTTGAAGAAAATATTGATGAATTTATGGTGGAAAACCTAGAAGAAGAAATACAAGAAACAAATAACACCTTGGACATGGAGGTGGTCTATATGGTGAGACACACCAATGCTAATGAAGAAGCCTACTACGATGACGATGAAGATGAAGACGATCAACAACCGCCGGTTAGGCAAGTTTATCGACGTCGTCGTGAAGCTGGGTCCACCACTAGCAGAGGTGGTCATTCCCAAGCAGAAGAAGAAAGAGAAGAAGCCGAGGAGAATCCCTTCGCTGACGAGAATGTCACAGTTGCAGACATGCAAAGACATATAAGACGACAAATGAGAGCCAAAGATAGAGAAATCTCTCAGTTGAATGAGATGATGGCTCAGATGGGGGCAATGATGCAGAGAACTGCCGCTGTTGGTGCCATGCCCAATCCTCCTGCTGATCCTCCAAACTTCCAAATACCTCAAGTCTCGGGAGTACGAGGTACTCCTGAAGGAGGTTGCGAAGTCCATACTGCTGCTGTTGGTGTCATGCCCCCCACTTCGCAACCTCCTTCAGGAGTACCTCGTACTCCCGATACTTGAGGAATTTGGAAGTTTGGAGGATCAGCATCATTGCCCCCATCTGAGCCATCATCTCAGTCATCTTCTCATTCAATTGAGAGATTTCTCTATCTTTATCTCTCATTTGTCGTCTTATATGTCTTTGCATGTCTGCAAGTGTGACATTCTCGTCAGCGAAGGAATTCTCCTCGGCTTCTTCTCTTTCTTCTTCTGCTTGGGAATGACCACCTCTGCCAATGGTGGACCTAGCTTCACGACGACGTCGATAAACTTGCCTAACCGACGGTTGTTAATCGTCTTCATCTTCATCGTCATCGTAGTAGGATTTTTCATTAGCATTGGTGTGTCTCACCATATAGACCACCTCCATGTCCAAGGTGTTATTTGTTTCTTGTATTTCTTCTTCTAGGTTTTCCCCTATAAATTCATCAATATTTTCTTCAATATTTTCTTCCCCTTCAAGGAATTCTTCTTCTTCAATATTGTATTTCCCTTCCATGTTTCCTTCTTCTTCTAGTACCCGGATCTCCGACCGGCTACGCCATTGAATCTCCGGTTCTTGATTAGGCAATGCGACTTCTTCGATCAGTGGGCTGCGATCTAAGTTAATCTCTTCTTTTGAAGGGGATGGAAGGTGACGGGATCCCCTGGAGGATTCTCCAAGGTGTCTAACGTCTGGAAGAGTGTCATTATGGGTCCTTTTTTGGGCCCACTTCTGACGTTGTTTGTTGACGGGGGCAGATCTCCGGGAAGCAGAACCGGATGTCACGCCCAGATCAACTCTTCTTTCTTTCTTTTCTTCCTTGTTTCTTTGAGGCTTTGGCCTCCAGACTTGCTTTCCTTTCCACCGGGACCTTTCAACAGTGGATCCCTGAACATGCGGTTCATGTGTCACACCCCGATGTTCACCGCGTGGGGTATACCTTCTTTCTCTTCTTTCCGCCACAACAGATAGACGTTCTCTTGGCGGGGTTCTCCTGGCCTCAATCACTAAAGGCCGTTGGAACTTCTTCTTCTTAAGACCTTTCTCCTTCACGGTCTTCAGGACTCGATAGACCCGGGATGATAAGGTCTCAGGATCATTCCTCCTTGGAGGGGCTGAGACTTCATGTCGTTGCTCCCAGAAGAACTTCTTTAGCTCACCAGTGGAGCTATTCCTCTTCACCCATTTTAAATCAGAAAACTTGTTTCGGGTAGGAACATTGACTTCAGGCACCTGGGCTGGCAGATTGGAAGGGTGAACAGGGAGTTGTTGTTGCTGAGCTTGGAGTTCAGCATTCATCTTTCTCCTTTGTCTTCTCGTAGACCTCCCTCCAGATGAGGAGGCTTCAACATTGTACTCTCCAGGCGCAGATAACATGGTTGACAAAGTAGTGGTGTTGGAAGTCACCACTGAGATTCTTCCGTCAGCTACAATCCTCTTGGTTGGTGGGGCTTCAGGCTGTGACAGCCTCTCAAACACAGAAATCCTCCTACGAGAAGTTTCAGTAGTAGGTCGTTGTACTGGCAGATGTACACGACTAGTAGGAGCTCCAACAGTTCTTGCAACAACTGCAGGAAAATCAACACTACCAAATTGGATGGTAGCTCTAGTGTTTCCGGTTTCTATGACAGCATTAGCCAGTTGGATTCTGGCTCCTCGTCCCAGTTGGACGGTCATTGTGATGTTCTGTAGATCCATCTGCATAAATGAAAGGCAAGGGTTAGTAATTAGAATCTGATACATCACCCCGCACTTTCAAAATGCAGAGACTTGTACATAACACAAAAAATAAGAGAAAATAACATTAGCGGGCAATTCAAATAATATAAATCTAAAATACTGCAAAATACGTTATCTCAATGAAAAAAAATTTTGGACGATCATTCTTAGGATACTTAAAATTTTAAGTACAGATCGATATGGATGCTACTATAATACTGAGACGACTAGCCAAAGATGGAAAGAGAAACTAATCCCCAGTGGAGTCGCCAGAAATCTGTGGGCTCCGAAAATTCGGCCCCGGCCTCCGCCCGCTTTTCTTTTATTCGGCGAGTGAGTTTTAACTGAATAAGTTCCGAGTTAAATTTTGGAAGGAAGATGGGTTTGATGAGAGGAAGAAGACAGGTCGAAATATGGGAGGAGGAGGTCGGCTGGGAGCTTGGAGTCGAGAGCTACGAGAGGAATCGTGATCCAGGAGAGGTTTGCGGTAGGACAGAGGAAGCAGAGAGCGGACTTCCGTGTGGGTAGCGAATGGAAGAGGGGGAAGAGTCGTGCGTAGGAGAAGAGCTGAGAGTGTCGTGGGATGTGGGAAGAGGAGTCGGAGAAGCAGAGGGATTCGTGGAAGCAACTACGAGAGTCGAGAGCAGAGGGATTCGTGGAAGCAGCTACGACCTACGGAAGTCAAGAGCAGCCAACGATCCCTTTGAGTCGGTTTTTAACGACTCGATTGGAGGTGCGACCGAGGAAGCGTACGCAGAAATCCCACGAGGAGACCTGGACGGCGCCGAATGCGCAGTGATTCAGCGGGATTTGAGCGGAATTTCTGGAGGAGTTCGGCAAGTTTCGTGGATCCGTCGGGTATGAGATGTATACGTTGGATTTTCACTTTGCTTTCTCCTCTCTTTTGTTCCTTTGGGTATTATATGAAGGTCAAAATGTGGGAACTAGAATGGCTTGTAAAAGTTAATAACACAGTTAAGATTGTAGAAGTCATTGCAGGAAATTCTTCTTACCTCTATAGTGAGGGCTTTGTGAGCTTTCCAATCTAGAATACCACCAAATTTTGATACAGCTTCTTTAACAGATTCAATTGGCGCTGTAGTGTCAACAAACCCTCTATGTACGCTCACTTTCTTGAAGTGTTCATTAGAAACGTCCGTCTCTGATGCTTTCATTTTTATAGGGGTTTGCACATGGCTCTGAAGATGGTGGCCATTGAGTTTAAGAGGCAGCTTCTCTTCAATCTTACTGATCTCATTAACAAAAAAATTGTTATTGGTCTGAGCATCGACAAATACAGGCGGACTACTCCCTTCATATTGACAGAACAATTCAGATTCCGTTCCCTTCGAAGCATCACCTGTTAAGGTGCTGTGATATTCTTCAGGTAGCAAAGAAGCAGCTTCTCCAGCATTACTGGCAGCAGAACAAGCAAACTCACCATCTATAACACGGCTGTCATCTTCATGATGAGCAGAACAATCCTGTTTATCTTTTGAAATGTGTATTGAATCAGATTTGGGACTACCACGTAACTCTAATGATGAAGTTACAGCATTCTCTAGAGAAGAAACTGGTCCAGTTGAGCTCTGTGATGACGCAAGTGATTGTGACTCCAAGGTTAAGCCTACGGAACCATCCTGCTTGGTCACTGCTTTATGCTCTTTTCCAGAGTCAGTTTTTTCATCAGACATAAGAGGAAAAGAAGTCTGACGCTCAGCTTGAAGAGATTCTTCTGGAGAAAGAGAAGGTTCCTTAAAAAGCATGTTTTCAACAGCCTGAAACTCCAACAACATTCTGCCAAATTAGTAATGAAATCCCCGTACCAAAAAAAAAAACTGCACAATAGATAGCACTCCAATGAATTAAAAATACCATAATTCAAAGCCAAGTGAAGAGCTTAAACAAGCTTCAAATATTTCTTGAAGGCATCTCGAAAACTAGTGTATCAAATGATTAAATTACATGTTTATGAAGTATATATATATATATATATGGGGGATTTACATGCATACCACTTTATTTCTTATATATTACATATTTAAGACCTAATACTTAAATATTACACTACTACCACCCAAACACTATTTTTACAACAAAAATACCACTACGTCAACAACATCGCTCACTCCGTCTATTTCATTCTTCCCGCGTGAGCTTTCCGCGCGAGAATAGGTTTTTTTCCGGCGAGTATGTCTGTAGCGACTCTTTCCAAGCGCACTCCGTTTCTTCATTTCCCGGGTGAGCTATGCTCCTTTTTCTTCCCTAGTTATTCTTCTCTATGCGTTTCTGCATTAGCTATCCTCCTTTTTCTTCCCAAGTTAAACTTATGGCTAGCGAACATAAGAAATACTTATGTTTCTGTAGAAGATAGTGTGGCTTCCAGATCAGAAAACTTATGTTTTGTTCGTTTTCAATTGAAGAGTCAATGGATTGGGAAATATAACTAACATTGTTCTAAGGGATGAGTATGAGAGCTGCTAAGTCAGGAGGACCGTAGTCGGCTGGCGACAGAGGTCGGAAGGACTATAGTCGGTGGGGAACGTAAGTTAGGAAGACAATAGTCGGCAAACGACAAAGGTCGAAAGGACTGTAGTCGGTGGGCGACGTAAGTCAGAAGGACCGTAGTCGGCTGACGACAGAGGTCGGAAGGACTGTAGTTGGTGGGCAACGTAAGTCAGGAGGACCGTTGTTGCGGACATCGGTACGAAGATTTGGTGCATCTATCACAGGAGGCGTCGTAAATCGACAGTTATAATTTAAATCTTCAATTATGAGTTATTTTTCTAAATTTTAGTTTTTATTTAATGTATTTCCTGTTTCACCCCTAGGTTGGTTTATGTGAGTGTTGTGGCCCAAGGGGCAATTTTGTATTTTGAGTTTTCTTATGTTGTGGCCTATATATAGAACCTTAAGCTATTGTATTGTAGGGATGGATTATTGATATTAAAAATTTGTGTTCAACACTTGTGTTCTTTTGAGAGGACGATAGTGAGATTCCTATGGGAAGGAAACGGAGTTTTCATCAACCGCAGGATGGGTCCGGGCTCGTGACTTGAAGTCCCTTGGAGAAGGGCAAAAAATCACCCATCAGTCTTTGGAAGAGTCCAAGGATCGCGGTTTTTGTCTTCTATCTTTTGTTGTTGTTTTTGTTCCTTCTTATTGTTCCTAGTTTTCATCTTCATCCTCTACCTACGTCCACCTTCATCTTCTCCATCTCCAAGCCGTCATCTCCATTTCCACCATAAGCCACCGGCCACCTCACCAAAAAATCCTCCAAACCGCTGACCATGGCTCCCTAGCCGCCGGCCTCATCACCACTTCTCTGTCTCCTTGAAATTTCCTAATTAGGTCGATGATTTAATTGGGATGATCAAAGATTTCAAATCCTTTTGAATTTGAATTTGAAATCTTTCCTAATTGGGTTTGATACATATTTGGAAGGTTTTAACTCTCCAATTCAAAATTCAAATTTGCATTAGGAGTTAAATCCCCCCTCAATTTCCTCCCTTTAATTAAGGAATTAATCGCAGCTTTAAATCTGAAATTTAATTTCAGATTTAAGAATTAATTCACTTAAGTGATTGGGGCCCACTTGTTTGAAATCAAACCCTCTCCCTCCCTCTTTCCTTGGTTGGCCCCTCTTCCTCCTTCCTTTGCCAAATTAAGAACCAATTAATGCTCCTAATTAACTCCTTCATTCACTCAAAAGCTCTTTGGAAATAATTCCAAAATCTGAGAATTTTGTCCCTGGCCGAATTTTCTCTAAAGTCATATTTCCTATTTTTTGTTCCTAGATTAACTCACTGGTTTAGGAAATAAAGATTCCCCAAATCCTCAATATCCCGCTGGCCTTGCTCTCCCTCGCCACCTTACTTCTCCCACCGCCTCACTTCCCTCCCTCTCATATCTTCTTTCCTATGCTATTACAGGAATTAATTTGGAGCCTTAAATTCTCCCCCAAGTCATTAATTCCCAAGAATAGGGGTCCGAATTTTCTAAGCAACTTTTGGAAACAAAAGAGTTGAATTTGCTTTCAGATTTCATTGATAAATGTCTCTTACTACACCGCCTCCCTCCTCTCTCCTAATTGCTCCAGACGGAATTTCTAGGGCAGAACCTGAGGCTTGGCATTTACCTTCAGCCTTCTCATTGCCATTAAGGCTTGACTCCTCCCTCAATTTTCTCTACATTCTATTCTACTAAAATCTGGAGATTCATCTCAGACTTTTGTAAGAAATCTGAAACTGTTTTCAGATTTTAAGAGAAGAGGTTTAGAGCTTGCAGCCTCTCTCCTATCAAGAGAACCTCTATTTTCTAGAGAGAAATCTGAGGTTCTTCTCAGGTTTTGGGCAAAGAAGTCAGAATTTCCTTCAGGTTTTGAAGAAAAGATCCTCTCCCTTGCAAATTCGTTTTCCCGTTCTACACCAACCGTAGTCGGTGGGTGACAGAGGTTAGAAGTACAGCGCCAAGTAAAAGTCAACAATGGATAGAAATCCAGCATCGGATAGATGTCCGGCAAAAGTTCGACAACGGGCAGAAGTCCGGCATCAATTAGAAGTCCAGCGGAATTCCGACGTCACTTGGAAGTCGAGCGGAATACCAGCGTCACTTGGAAGTCGGGCGAAATTCTGGCATCACTTGGAAGTCGGACAGAAATCCGGCGTCACTTGGAAGTCGAGCGGAATTCCGGCGTCACTTGGAATTAGGGCAGAATCTCGGTGGTGGTCGAGGAGGAGTTTCTTCCCTCCTACTCTTCTCTTCTTCTTCTTCTCCTTGCTTCCCCCTCTTCTCAAGAGAAATGAGGGGTCTATTTATAATTTTTTGAGAGTGGCATGACTAGTAAATTGGAGGAGGATAAAGGGCAAATGTAGAGTAGTTTGGATGGACGGCCGATATTGAATCTCTTGATCGTGGACCGTTCGTCAGACATTTGAAGGTCTTAATGATATTGGAATTCGGCGATCTTGGGCTCGTTGGATTCATCTCGTCGAGCCGCTCGATTCGACTATAAGCATGTCACGTTTGAAAACCGTTTGGTAATCCAAATTGTGGTTTGAACCTTCCAACAGCGCTTCGGGTCCTTGATTTGGACTCATTTGGGCTCGGATTGAGTTGAATTTGGCGTCGTTGGGTTCATATTTCCGAGACGATCAGTTCGACTTTAAGTTTGCTGAAATCGGAGTTCAAATGATCCCAGATTTAATTTTTGAAGTTTCTAACTTGATTTTTGCCTTGAGATTCGTGCCCGATAAAGATAATTTTTTAACGATATATCAATATATAATAATTGAGTATAACTTTATTAGTCTTTTTAAGGCTTAAATGCATAACTGCCTCGAAAATGTAAATTATGGGAAAGTAACCTATAAAAAGTGTTCTCTGGGTGGATGAAACTTTTGCTAATGCATGCCCTAAGAGGGGTTATTATATGTAACCTCATCCCAACATTTATAAAGAGGATGTTTCATGACTAGAACCTAGGACCTACATATAATACACTAGAGTCTAATAATCTAAACTTCACCAAAAGTTTCAATTAGTATCTACATTACATCCAAATCAACTCATAACTTATTTTAACCATGAGGAAATAATGTTGGCATAATCAAAAGATGGACAACTGGAATGCATCAAACCATCCTTAGAAAAAAAATCCAAAAATTCTCTCTTTCACCCTCTGAGAGTAGAGAGGGGATGTTCATGGCATTATTATGCACCAAGGCAAACAACACGGCCCTCATGAGTGTGACTGAGGTAGCACCGTAGCAGACATTAAGTCCACAAGAAAGCTTAGTCGTTTACTCAAAAGCATTCTTTCTGATCAAAGTAAATGATACCCCCATCAATGAAATATTTTTTATTATTGCCCTATCCACGAAATTCCTCAAAAATTATGCCTAAAGTTATTAGATTCTGGAATAATTTCATATTTATTCAAAAGAATATATTACAAGGAACATGATTTAAATTAAGGACGTTACAAATATCCCTGCTACAATCAAATTAAGCCTAACTAATGAATATCAAATGGTTTAAAAGAATGTAAATAAAAAAATAAACTAAATTAATTATAATGAATATGCCCTCTCATGATGGAACTCTGGTAAGAGAGCTTAATCTTCATACTCAATATAGAACAAAGCTCAATAAGAGTGTTAGCAACAAAGAGATGTTCACCCTCAACGGATCTTAACATTGCACTTACAAAGGTAAAATTATCCTTGTTACCTGCACAATCAACATTAAGACGAGGTCGTTTGTGGGGAAGGAGGTCCATGAGGAGAACAAGGGAGGAGGGGCTGTCCTGGATTAACTCGACGAGGAAATAGGGAGCGTCAATGGAGAAGTTTAGGAAAGCGGAGAGGGTGGTGAAATTGATCCCATCACCATTGGAGTCAGGATTGAAGGACGAAATCAACATAGGAAATGGGAGGATTTTGAGCATTCGAAGGATTAAAAGGCATAGCTTGGAAGAAGCTGTTAATTTTTGCAGAAATTATTATGAAAAAAACTATGTCATGATACAAAATTACAAATTGTATAAGAAAAAATTTAAAATTTATTAAATTTTATTTTTTAAGATTAATATAATACAAATTCTTCTTATATAATAAATCTAAAAAAGTGATTTTCATTATGATCAACTAAAATTTTTCTTTCACGGTTATGCATTCAACGACTTAACAATAAATAATTGTGTATTTACATAATTAACAATACACAACCGCATATTTTCACTTTTTGCATAATAATTTCTCATGAATTTGGGGAAAAATTAGTTGAGAAGCTCCTTATAAAAATAAATTATTAAAAAAATATCCATGAACGATAGGATCAGACAAATTCATAAAAATCTGTTGTATTCATATGAATTTCTAAAAAATCAGACATACACGCAATTATTAAAATTATAAAAATGCACACTGATACCGGAGAAGTTTGGGAGCCGGTGCGACTGTCCACGGAGCCGTGGGCAGAATCCTGGGGTTTGCAAGCGGCGAACGTCGACAGGAACGGCGGAGGGGAGGATTGCTGAGCCGAGCCGACTAAGAGCTTAACCCTGGCAGTCTAGGAGAACACAACCTGAAATAGCGAAGCGTCCTCAACAAAAAATCTCTCGCCATACTCCACTTGCTCTCAGTTCCAACCGTACATTTCTCTTCAGTGATCTTCTGAGTTTTCTTTTTCCATTTTATATATTTTTTTAATTTTCATACATTAATATTTAAAATTATCATATTTATGTATTTAATGCATAATTTACTGTTTATATAATATAACTTTCTTTAATAGATCATTCTCTTTACATGTAAATGTCTTAATGATGTTGGAATTTAGTTATGTTGGGTTTGATGGATTCTTCTTGTTAAGATAATCAATTTGATTGTAAGCATGTTAATTTTGAAGATCATTTTGTTATTCAATTAATAATCCAAAATTTTAAGTTATGCTTTTGGCACTTGATTTGAGCTCATTTAAGCTCGGATCAAATCACTTTTGGCATCGATGGTTTTGTCTTTTTTAGATGTTTGTTTTGACTACAAATTTGCTCAAATTTGGGTTTAAGTTAATTTAAATATTTTTTAATTCAAGTATGTATCGCATATCAATTTTTCATGGCAAATCAATAATTAAATTTAGATGTTAAATATATAAATAAAATGAAATAGCTTTTTAAGTTTTATGTATGTAAATTACCTTAGAAGCCTATGACTATGATCTCCTTATCTAGTTCAATTATGGATTTGTGGTTGCTTCTATCCAAGGGGACTCACCCCTTGGTGTCTAAAGGTTTGAATGCTATATCTAGAAGCTCTCCCTTATGTCTAAAGGCCTCTCCTTTATGGATACGGTCTTCAGTCAGATCCCAAAGACTTGTCGAAGTTACTCACCCTCAAAGACTCCTGAGAGGGAGGGTCGCTATCAAAGTATAAAAGTCGCTTCATATTATATTTTTATATTTTTTAGGTGTAATATTCCATTTAGCGCTATAAATCCTAAAAATAAACAAGGAGTGCACACATTTTGTATCTTCATGCTGCTAGATTTTTTTTTTTTTTTTTTTTTTTTTTTAGATACTATAATTTTTCACAGACTCTCAATACTTACTCATGCCTAATCCAATTTTATAGTTGTAATATATCAGTCACTTATTAGTAGGGTCATATGTTATCCATAGATAAATTTTGATTCAATATTCTCAAAGGTGTGGTAAATATGGATTGATGCTAGTAACCAAAAGGCATACAAACCTTGAAGAGCAACGAATATTGAGTCAACCTTGAACATGGAAAAACCTAACATTTACATTATTCATTGTGACTTGATGGAGATGAAATAAACACTTACTATGGTGATCTATGATACATTAGCAAGAATTTAATAACATTCTTGAAAATTATATGAGGGAGTGCTATGGTGCCAAGCTCCCGGGTTTTTTATATACACTATTGCCCACATTAGTGTACCAATTACTGATGGGAGGCAACCCAATTGTATTATGTGATGTTAAATATATATTTAATTTCTTTATAATATTTAGTTATCTCCTTTTTATTAAATGTATTTTAGTTTATTATTGTAATTGTTGTTATTGTTGTGCAGTTAAATTTTTCATTTGAGTAATATTGCCTACATTGCTTAACTGTTGAAATTGTCCTCATCATAGCGCTAGCATTTTGATAGCTAAATTAGCCTAATTAAAAATAGCATCTAAAAATTATTTAAAATTTAGGATAATAGAAATCTTAGGTGTTAAACTGAATGAACATATGATAACAATTTTTAATTTAAAATTAAAATAATCAACTAAACAAAACATATCAGGAAATATCTCATCTTGAACTTCAAATACAAAAACTACTTAAGCGCTGGCTAATGGTTTCAAGATTGAATAGTTAAGTTTAGAAAAAGAGAGTGTGTTGATTAAATTACGGAAATCATTATAAACATCGTTATCGAATTAGTGAGCTTATAACAATCCTTACATTAATTCAATTTAGGGTTTCTTGAAGGACGAAGACAACTAGATAGTCAAAATCATTATTGTGGTGCACAAATATGTTAGAAAAAAGAAACTCATGAAAAACAAGCAAATTAAAAAAAATGAGAAGAAAAATGAGTACTTCATAAAAAATTGGTATCTGATGTAGCCACATTCCTTAAAAAACTCTAATACTTAAATAAAATAGAAGAGTGTAAGTAAACTAATACATTTGAAGGATTCCAAATGAATTTCTAATTTAACTAAAGGCAAAAACAAATTCTAAATTAAATATTATTCAACTTTGAAATGAATAATATTTATGAAAAGAAACGTTGTGATTATTTTGACCAAAAATCAAAACATTTAATTGAACAATTTATGTTATTCCCCTCGACCAAATAATATTTTCTAAGAATATAGCTCTCTTAAAAGACTTTAGAATTAGTCAATATTATGCTTCTTAAATTTATCTTGTCGAGATACCTATTTTGAGTTAAGTTTACTAGAAATAGAATTTAGATAGTTCTAAAGCCCATTCTAAACGTTTCTAATTCAAATATTTATGCCAAAATATGCATTTGATTAGATGGATTTGTGCGTGAAACATTACCGCCTATTATAATTAGCCTAAATATACAATTACTTCTCTATTATCATAGTAATTTATAAATTGATTAACTTAAAATCTTAACTATCATTATTTAATAATCATCTTAAAATGATTATTTAATTAAAAATACTATATAAGTAAAAATCATTATAAGTAATTAAATTATTTATTAACAAAATTTTTAATCAATTATTATAAGATTAAGTATAAAAAATAAATACTAATAGATTTAATGATCTTAAATAAACCCAATTTATCATCAATCACTAATATACTGGACTCAGCTGCCCAAAAATTTTTCCAAATTGCAAACTATTCTTCACCAAAAGCAAGCCAATAGGTCCAATAGAAGATAAGATTATAGAGAGTCGTCTTAGATGATATGGTCACATAAAGCAGCAGCCTTCCGATGACCCGATTAAAAGAGTAGAAGTATTAGATTTGACTTATGCTAAAAAAATAGATGCAGAGAAAGATATCTTTCATTCCACCATCAAGACAGCAAGCTACTTTTATTATTAAAAAATCTCCAAATGAGTACACAATTAACATAACTAATTGGCACAAACACCAACACAATCATCATCAAAATGAGGTAATTGAGCAAATCGCAGATCCAAAATTTATGCAAAGCTCAAACTTGCATTCAAATTTTCTAACCATAAATTACCAATAAACTAATCAATTACTTTTAATAAATACATGCTTCCAATAATTACATGACCTGACTCAGAATTAAGCTTCCTTTGGGACGGCTTTCTTACTGCTTCTTAAAGCAGTTTTTTAGGAAAAAATTTTTAATTTTTATACTAGAAAGCAGTTTTAAGAAGTAGGAAAAAAGCCGTCCCCAAACGAAGCCTTAGTCCCAGCGTCTGAAAAAGATCACACCGAGATGAAGAAGTTGACTTATAATATGTTCCATTTCTGCTCCAGCGCATTGCATATCCGGCTTATGCAGCAAGCTGCACTGAGTGGGTAATTTGAAACTGTAGGAAGCACAGGGAAAACATGAGTGGCTAAATCAAGTTTTATAATTATTTAGCTAACATATCAAGCATTTAAAAATGATAAATTATTTACACTTCGAGGGCATTTAGTTGCTTATAGATGGAAAACATAGAACATATTTTCAGATCTGTTTCATTTTCGCTCATTTAGTGAAACTGAAATAACCATTTTTGAGAAATTTAGAGGGTAATTTATAAAATTAAAAATTCATATTGGTTTTAAACTACACACACAAATGAGAATAATCAAACATCCACAAATGAAAAAATAACTTTCTAAGAGAGACAAATTATGGTTGGCTGAAGAGAGTAAAAATCATTAAAAATACTGCTACTTTGAGGAATGAAGGGAGGGTAGCTGTCACTTGCACATTTGTAGGTAGCCTTCAAATAGAAGATTGTTATAAGAGGTAACTAATCTAAGGCTAAACTAATTTGCAGAAGATAAATGATTAAATAACCAAACTGAAACATTTACATTGATCATAAATAAGATATGAGTAATAATTGAGTAGGAAAATATAAAGAGACCATGCTGTATTGAAATCAAGGAAGATATGCAACAACCACTACACATTTAATCTAATCTAGCACCCTGTTGAATTGTGAGGCCGAAGTATCTTTCATGAATGAAAAATAAATTTATATAAAGCATTAAAAAATATTAAATCAAAATTCCTTCAGCATAGACCAATATACCTGATATGAAGTCATCTATAAATCCTTTATCAATGATTCCATGAGCCATAGCACCCACCTGAAAATTGCCAAAATTTGGAAATAAATGAAAGCACAAAACGAAAGATTAAAAGGGCCATTATACTATTATAGTATACCACAAAAACAAGATTGACATTGTCACTAGCAGCAGCAACATAGTCACGCACTTGAACTAATTTATCAGAACTATATGATAGGCCTACAAAAACAAAGAAGAGTTAGCCGCAGTTAAGCATTCATTCCAACAATAAATCAATATTAAAAAGGTTTAAGAATCACCTATTTTTCTTGAGTTAACAGGTAAGTGATCTGTTACAGGATTCTTAATCAAAGTGAGAAGCTTCTCACGATTGCCTACAGCAGTAATTTTTTGCTTTTCTAACAACTGCACTGAAAAAGAAAAAGAGCCACATATTAGTAAATAGTACTATAAACATGCAATTCCTTTATGGGCAATAAATTTGAAAAAAAAATGCAATTCAGGCTACAAACAGACATGCTCGGACAATATGGAATATTCTAACTGTGACTAACCCATAAGACCGCAGAATCGCCTGAAAGTTCTTGGAATACGAACATGTGGTTTGACTTCAATGAGTGCATGCCGTGTCGAACGTACATATAGAGCTTGCAGTCTACCAGCCTTAGTTAAGGGGCTATCCAATATGGCAAGAAGTGCCTGAAATCTCCATGCATTGTATGAGTAGTTGTTTAATAATATAATTTCCATTTTAGCAAAACATGGAATGCAGATTTCTTTTGTACTATGTAGAAAATAAAAAAAAAGATTAAGTTATAACCAGCTGCATGAATTGCGTCTGAATCTTGATGAAGACCATAAGAATTGAAGTTCAATGTCATGTTAAAGCTAATTAAGGCTTCGTTTGTTTTTTTTGTGCTTTTGTAAAATACAGTTTTAAAAAACATTAGTTCAGAAAATGGAGTTTTCTAACGGAGAAGCACATATAAAAAGCTTTATCAAAACTGCAGAAAAATGAGAAAAAGGAGTTATTGGGAACGTGATTTGACGAACCAAACAACACAAAAAAAAAAATCCTCCATTTTCGAAAACGGAGAAGGCAAAAAAACGCTCAAACAAACAAAGCCTAAATGTAAATTTATATTCCCAAGTCGGGAACGCTATGCTGAGACAAATGAGAAAACTCCATAGTTCAACTAGCAACGAAAGAGTCAAAATTTACAGGAGATTTATGAATTTATCACAAACCTGATGAACAATGTCAGGCCTATATTCAGAAGGATCTTTGCTCTGCTTTTTTAGAAAATTTGCATGCTCATCAGAGTTCAGAAGCACATGTTTCTGAAAAAAAGAAACATGAGGGACTTTGTAAACATTTATGAATTAATTAAGTGTGAAGAAATTGAATTAGTGCAATCAAAAATATAAAGGGCGTCACATTTTACACAGAGATTCTAAACTTAAATAAGAAGTATTCATCACAGAGATTTGATAAGAAAAACAGTTTGAAGTATACTCATCCATGTCTGACTCCAATCATTTTTTAATGCAAATGGACACTAGATACACCGTAAAATTTTAATTAGAAAAACATTGATGCTGCAAATTTAAAATAAAATAAACAGAAGAGCACCCAAAAATGAAATTTACTTGAGCGTGCAAAAAAGCACCAGTTCGTCTTATTCAACACAATCATAAACCATTTTACATAAAACATGCATTCCTCACCTACGTACTGAGTCTTATCTGAACTAGGGAAATGTAACTAAATTCAGAACTCAGGATTTAATATTTCACAAGAAAACCACCATTTTAGCAGAGCACCAATGAACTCATGATTTGATATTTCACAAGAAAATCTCCTGTTTTAGTAGAGCACCGCATGTATGAAATTACAGAATCATGGATTGAGATTTTTTTTTTCCATAAGGTGAGGTGTAAACCTCAAAATTAAACCATTAAATTAATTAAAATATAAAATATGAGTGTTTGAAGTCCCTAGGTGAGGGCAACGGAGCACCCATCAGCCGCAGGAAGCATCCGGGCTCGTGGTTAGCCTTCTTTCTCTAATTCCACTCCTTCTCCACTATCCGCTAGCCATATACCCTCCAGAAACGGCCGGCCAAGCCCCATCCCTTCCTCCACCCCACTTGCCGCCGGTCACCCTTACCTAACCCTTAACCAACCCCCTCCTCCATAGCCGCCGGCCAAAACCCCAAAATCCCTCGCCTAGCAGCAGCCCTTAAGCCCTCCTCCTCCTCCTCCCTAGCCGCCGGCCAAACCCTAAACCCTTCTCTCCCTCTAGCAGCGGCCCGCCGGCCACCTCTTCCCTCCCTGGGATCCCAAAACTTTCCAAACTATGCATTCACATACTTTCCTAAATTAGTTCCTCTAAAATTGGAAATTATTTGAATTCAAATTCCATTGCATTTGAATTTAAATTTCTTTCCTAAGATAAGGGGAGTTATAATTGAAAGGTCCCTCAAATTATGTCAAATCGAATTTCAAATAGGATTGGCATTAAACCCCTTTCCTAATTTAACATTCTAAACCTAACAACTAATAATTCCTTCAAATAAATCCCCAATCAAGCCCATCAAGGGCTGCCACCCCCTCCCTCTCTCTCCTATCTAATTAAAACACCCCATTAAACTCTCCAATTAAAACCCCCATCCCCATGCAAGCCGCCAGCCCCCTTCCCTTTTTTCCTCTCTCCAAAATTAATCACCTTTCCAATTGGGATTCCCAATCACTCCATCCATCAAGTTGCCGCCCGTCTCTTTCCCTCCTTATTTCTTTTTGATTCAAATTCAAATCTCTCTAATTAACCTCCCAAAAATTTCTTATACCTATTGTCCTATATTCCCCTTGTCAACTACTTAGGTTTTCTGACCTTAGGACCAACTACGTGGAAGACCGGAAGTTTTCTCGGTTGCTGTCCAGATTTTGTGGAGCAAGGAAATTGTTGTCTAGAATTTCCCCAAGCTTCAATTTGTTGTCCATTCATGAATGGCCGAACCAGAGCTTGATCACGGATTAGTATTTGACAATCAAGGGTCCATCGACGTCCTTCGGTCACCATTCTTCAACATCGACTTTGCAAACGACCAATCCGTTGAAGACTACGTAGAGAAGATCCTCTTCTCCCTCATCACCACTATCTACCAAGAGAAAGATGAACTTTCTTTCCTCCAAGTCTTTTCTCTTCTAAGTTTTCCCTTCATTGTAGCGTCATAAAGGATATGTAAGCTCTTTTTGTTTTCACCAATCATTAAAAGAATTGAGTGAGGGATTTCTTTTCATAGTGATTAGTATAAATGTTAACATTATGATTTTCTTTGAAAAATGCCATGTATTGCAAAGCTTGATTTAAAGAGATTATTTTATGCTCCTACGATTATCGTGTAACTGATTGCCTAATCTATTAATCTCTTTATGGTTTTAATCTTTCATTTAAAATTGATAGAAGTGGATAATTGAGATTACTCTGCAATAAACGTGTAATTTTCTACTTAAAATCTGCCCATGCATTTAGTCATACATCAAGAAGCCAGCTGCATCATAGATGATGAGCTGGACTTGAGGGCAATGTTGGTTTTTCAAGAGCACAATAAATTGATGCAAACGTCGTCATTTTTTAACCCCAAGCAACAACTGCTATAGCTCAACCACAGTGGGAATGTAGAACAACAAAGGATTACTAGTTGGATGTAGGATAGTAATGGGTGTGGAGGGTGTGAATCATACATGAGTCTACTTAAAATTCTGCAAGAGGTGTCCTTAAACCATTGGATGGGTTGTTTTGGATATTTTAGAATGCGGCACTTGTCAAATGATGGTACAACTGGTTTTAATTTGCAAATCATAGTACCAAATTACAATATTATGATGTAAGGGCATCTCCAACCGAACGCTAAACGACTGTATGGAGTCGTTCCCTCGCTCCAACCGAACTCCAAAATTTTCGCCATTTAATCGCAGGTGAACAGTGCGACGCCAATATTGGCGTCGCACTGTTCACTCACGCCATTTTTTCTCTCAACCCGAAAAACGCGCGAAAGGGAGAGCGATCGTTACCTTCTCAAAAACACCTAAAATGGCGTTCGATTGGAGCATCCCGCGCCATTTTGGAGTTTTTGCGTTACTTTGCCGTGAAAAATGAAGTTTTCGATTGGAGATGCCCTAATCTGCGAAAGAAAGGAGCAATGAAAAATCAACTTTGATAATCCTCTTCCTCAAATTTCTTTTCATCTATCTCTGTTTTTCATAATTCACCAGAAGAGTAATCAAGGAGTTGCCAACGAACTAAAATTTGCGTTCATCTGCCAACAGAAAACATGAAGAAACAGCCCAAGACAGTAGACCTTATGGAACCCGTTAATCAGGGTAAAGTAAGTTCCACATCTTTGAAATTGGCTACAGATGAGAACGAAAAATTCTCAAAAAAGAAAATATAAACGAAATCAAAACACCAACTGAAAAGATAAACTTCCACTTACGTTACCAACTTTTCCGATCTCAAGCGGGGCCTTATCGAGGATGAATATCATACTAGGCTTCTTCGACCCATCCACTAGGGACATGACAGGGATCCCCGGCATGTCTCCGATCACATCCTCAGTTTTTCCCTCGTCATCTATGCCATGATCTATGTTATCTGCAGTTTCGGATCCAATCTCCTCCTCCGATCTCTTCCGCTTCATGGGATTCGGAACCTTAATTCGGTAAGCACGAACCATCTTCCCCTTCGCGACTCTAGCTTCGACGCTTCCAAGTTGTACCAAAAACAGCAAGTTATTCTCGCAGGTTGGCCGAGCAACGATGCGGCGAAGGCAGCGGGGTTGATGACGGGCGATTGTCAGGGCTGGGTTAGGGGCTGTTTGGATGCAGGATTTAGGCCGGGTTTGGGCGGATTTGAGCTAAATCCAGCCAAACGGCCGAAAATGCAAAACCAAATTTCACGGTAAATCTAAGCCGCGGTTGAAGGAAAATTAAAAATTACCTCTTTTCGTCGTAAATCCCGGATTTACGAAATCCTTCGATTTGGCGGATTTACGGATTTGGTCGAAGAAGCGCGAAAGGGAGAACGTTACCTTCACAGTGAGCGAGCTCCCGTCATTGCTTCCGATCAAAATGTCGTCACTTCCGATCCAACAGGAAGGGAACGTCGGCGAAGTGGCGAAGTAGCGAAGTCGAACAACAGCGACCAAGGAGCAGAAGAAGAAAAACAACGAAGAAATAAATGAGAAAAGCAAACTTAGGGCGTAGACTATGAAAAGAAAGGAGCAAGAATTATTTAAGGGAGACTTATATAGATACCTCTTTATATTATTTTATTTACCTATATAATATTTAAATTTTTAATATTACATATATATCATCTTATATTATTTTAATATTAAATATGTCACCCAATTTTATTATTATCATCCATATATTATATTCATAACAATCTTTTTTTATATGAAGGTGAACTATAAGTGATATATATGTAATATTAAAATTTTAGGTATTAGATATGTAAATAGAATAATATATAGTGGTATTTATAAATCTCCCATTATTTAAAATGATTAAAGTATTTTTAATAATAATATTCATTATTAATTCATGTAAATTAATATTATTTATAATTTACTTTGATGAAAATTATTATATTTGATTAATTAATTAGTTAAAAATTAATAAAGATATTAGATATAATATGGATTACTTTGATGAATCCTACTTTGACTTTTTATGTATCTAATATGAATTGCACATAGAAATAGTTGAGGGATATAATGATTAGATGACATTGGTCAAGAGATGAAAGTAAGGCGATGATGTTCTGGCAATGAAAGCCCATCGATGATTATCAAAAGATATTAGTGAAGCAATGAAAGTCGAGCAACAATGATCAAACCATGATAGTCATACAGTGGAAAATCAGGCAACCACAGTTGAGAGATGGATAGTCATGGCTATCAAGTGACGATAATAGGACGGTGACAATCAAATGATATAATTGTTAAAAGTGATCGTTGGTGTCAACTATCAAACTGAGCAATTGATATTACAATCTTTTAAGTTCTATTCAATTTCAATTCAAAGTTCATGTCATATATAAAAATGGTGGTGTTTTAGTAAATTTTTATAAATGCTCCAAACAATCTATTGAAGGACTCGTGTTGATTCACACAATTATTGATCTTTCCTTAGACATTTAAGTACCTTAAAGCTTTGATTTGCGGTTGCACTTCGAAACTGATGAGACAAATTGTAACTGATCTAACGATGAATCTTATTACATAACGAACAACGAGTGACGTACCAGGTGGCAAAGAACTTAAAGAATTGGGACTTAGAGTATGCGACGATAATGCCAATGAGAGGGAAGCTGTAGACGAAGGACATGAACAAGTACATGTGGCTTCCAGCGAAGGATGAATGCCATGCCGCTGTCCTTCCTCATTCCAAAACCTCTTCCAATTTTCCCTCAATTTTGATATCGTATTACAAAAAATTGGTTGATTTTCGTAATGTAGGCTGATGCAGAAATTTTTATATTACGAAAATTTGGCGGATTTTCATTCATGCCATATAATTAAAGGTAAAAAATATTGTGTTGATAAAAAATTTATCAAAATTGATTTTAAAATTATAATTTAAATTGAAATTAATACAACCTAATATATTATATCCAATTTCAATTGAAATTTTAAGCTCTTAAATATTTATATATCTGACATTTAAATTTTATATTTATTTAGATTATATTTTAATATTTCGATTACATAAAATTATATATTTCACTTGAAAAACATTTATAATGTTTTTATATAATTTGAAATTTTATATTTTCTATAATTATATATGTAGATTTTAAAAATTATTTGACTCACATATAAATCTTTATAAAAATTTTGAATATGATAAATCGTATAAACTCATTGAATTAATTTTAGATGGTCTAAAAACCCCTCAGAAGCTCGGAATAAGCTATAAAATATTCGTGAGAAATAAATTACATTAGAAAAATAGCCTTTTTAACAACAATAAAAGAATAATCACTCATCACATTTAAATTGCTGCATACGTTCATTATATATGATGCAGAAAGTTATCGTCCATCTCCGTCAAGTATAATGAATCGCAACAGGGCTTCTAACTCTGTGCACACCATCACTCCAAGTGAGCGATCCCGATGCAATATACGGCGGCCTTCCATTGACCGCCGCCACCCTCACCACCACATCAAACACTCTCTTCTCATTAACCTTCGCAAACTCCAATTTTGCCGGCTTCACCTCAATCTCCACTCCCACCGGTGCCTCCACAACCGCCTTATACAACGCCGCCCCCTGCCCCACATTCGTCACAATCCGCCGATACGTCACCGCCGAGGCCTTGGCCGAGTCCGGCACGACGTAGTGAAAACTCGGGTAGTTGAGCGCGTCATATCCTTTACCTTTGGAGTAAGGAGTGCAGTCAAAGTTGCGAGAGCCGGTGAGAATGGAGACGGCGGTGGTGTTGGGGTGTTTGGAGCAGAGGAAGCGGAGATAAGAGGATTCGGTGAGGTCGTAGACGAGTCCGGGGTTTACGGCGGCCAGAGGGTCGATTTGGCCGGAGCCGTAGGCGTATTCGAGGATTTTATTACAATCCAGCGAAATAGACAATAACTAAATATTTATAAAAATTTGAAGGAATAGATGGATATATATATATATTTATATACTCGCCGGAATCTATGACGCCAACGATGACGTTGCTCTCAAGTGTATGATTATGCGGGGCGGTTTGAGGGAAGCCTATGAAGTCCCAAGTACGGGTGGTGTGAAGTTTCCGGGTACGGGCGGGGAAAACGGAGACGACGCCGTCGAGCTCGGCCAGCTGAGCTGCCTCCTCGTCGGAGAGTTTGGCGGCGAAGGCGTTCATGCTTAGAGTGTAACTGTGGAAGATGGAATCCTTGGCGGCATCATGGCTGCTTATATTTATTTCGATATTCAGATATATGAAAAATAATTGGGTCAACTTATTTTGATTCGATTCAACATTATAGATATTGGATTTATTTTTAAAAAATCAACATAAGAAAATTAATCAAATTTAATGAAAATAATTTGGGCCGGGCCCCATATAATACAAAGGTTTTGTTTGTGAAAGATCTCTAAAGTAATTTTTTAGTACAAAGAATTCTTAAATTAAAAAAAGAAATTTTAAGCTGAAAATTTATTTTAGAAATCATTAATAAAGTTGTCTCAAACAAAGCCTAAGAATATGTTTGGGATTAGGCCCATTAGGGGTGTAAACGAGTTTAGTCGAGCTCGAATCAAGGGTGTTTGAGCTCGACTCGCAAGTCAAATACCGAGCTAGAGCTCGAGCTGAGCTCCAAGGTCAAACTCGAGCTCGACTCGCGACACAGAAACAAGTTCGTCCAACCGCTCGATTTTTGTTTCCCGCCCAATATCTCGGCAGTCACTGCAGATGCCCGAGTCGAGGCCCTCGTCCACACGATACGTTGCTTTTTTAGGTGGATAAAAAATGGTGTCTTGAGATTTTTTTTTTTCTCTTATATAAATCATTTAAACCATTGACATTTGACAACGATTTCTCTTAAGAACATATCTCAATATTTAATGTATATATTTTTTTGAAAACTATTGTAGCTTAAAAAAAAACTAACTAGAAGCATCTATTTTTTTAAGATTTAAATTTAATAAAAATAATAATTACTTTATTTAAAAATAAAATTATTCAAGCCGGCTCGCGAGCTCAAGAGCCGGGCAGCATCAAGCTCCAGCTCGTGCTCGTTACTCGTCAGCTCAATAAACTCGGCTCGCAAGTCCATAAACGAGTCGAGCTCGAGTTGGCGGCTCACTTACACCCCCTATTTGGGATAGCTGCATGATTTATAAAATTGATTAAAATGTTGATGTACGAAGAGCAGCGTAGTAGTTTTACACCAAAAAAACTTTCAGAAAAAAAAAAAAAAGTGATAAAATAGCCAAAAGAAATTTTGTCAGTTTTTGAAAAAAAAAATATGAAAAAGTTGCCCAAAGTGAGCAAAAGTTTTATTTAGAATGAGTATAAAAGTAATTAGACTAATTATTTTGAGACGAGCTAACTATAAATGAGTAACAAAAGATTTCAAAACACTAATCTTAATGCAAATCAAGTAATTTTAAAATACATTCTAACAAAAAAATTATTAAAATTTCATTACATGAAACATTTTTCATGACTAATTATCTAAAATTTCTATTATGCTGATTTCAAAATAAATGTAATAAAATTTTTGAGATGCATAAGGGCTTTGATATTGATTCTCATCAATCAGAATGTATATAATTAGAATAAAGAGATGATAGAGTAGAACAAATTAACCTTCCAAGAATATCGGAGAGAAGGCGGTGGTGATGGCCAATGGCGTCGAAGCTGCGGTGAGGCTCGTTGCCGAGGTATACTATGAATTTCTGAATGCAAATATCATATATATAAATGATTTATCAAACAACTAAGAAATTAATTACAGTAATTTATTAAAGTGTTGAAGCACTGAATAAATGACCTTTTTTTCAGGTATGGTGGCCGCGAGAGCGGCGGAGGAGAAAAGAAGCACTGAAAAGAGAAGATGGAGAAGAAGAGACGACGCCATGTTTGTATGGCCTCGGAGAAGAGAGGAAGTGAGGTTGGATATCTATATGAAAGTTTTTAATAGGGAGTTATATATATATATATATATAGAGAGAGAGAGAGAGAGGATCAAGTGGGATTTGAGATTTGTTAGCTTGTTTATGTTGTTTCTGATGCTGTTGGGGGGAGGAGAAGATGGGCCCTACAAGGAAAAATGCTCTGCACCTGCCTCCAATGCTACTAATGGGAGCCCAACTGTTTAACATGAAATATAAACTGGTTAATAGGACAAAATTATAAAATGAATTCTGTTTTTTGCAGGAAACAAATGAAAAAAAATAAATTATGAATGATGCGGTCATTAGTTCATTGCCTTAGGCAATTACTGGCTATATGCTAAAGGAGATATTATTCTGTGCGGTGTTTGACTAATTCAGATATGCCATGTCATCTAATGTACTATGTATTGGATGACGTGACATATCCGGAATATCACATGTAATACTTTTTCTCTGCTAACATAGCGATTAGCGATGGTCCCACATGGCTGGTGAGTTTGCGACTCACCCCTCCGCGTGCAACCCACCCTCTGCACAACTCAACTAGTTGTGAATGTTTCGTATGACTTGTCATCGGTCCCATTTGAATTGCCGGTCGG